AAAAACTCCAAAAGTCTTAATAGATTTAATCACCAAACTCAGCAATGTAGCAGGAAATGAAGTCAACACCCAAAGTAGCATTTTTATACAAAAAGAATGAACACATTGAGAGAGAAATTAGAGAAACTATGCCTTTCACAATAACATCCAAAGATAAGAAATACTTAGAAATCAATTTCACAAAGTACATAAAAGATTCCATACAGTGAAAATTGTGGTACTTTATGAAAAAAAATTGAAGAGCATTTATGAAAATAGAAAAATATTCCATGCTCCTGGATAGGAAGAACCAACATTGTGAAAATGGCCAAGTGTTATACAGATTCAATGCAATCCTGATTGACTTGTATACACTAGTATACCTCACAGAGCTAGAGAAAACTTTCCTGAAATTCATTTGGAACCAGAAGAGACCCAGAATATCAAAAGCAATGCTAGGAAGCAAAGGAAAGGTAGGAGGTATCACAATCCCTGACCTGAAATTATACTATACACCACTGTGATAAAATTAGTATGGTACTGGCATAGAAACATAGACCTAAGTATAGACCTAAGTATCAATGGAATAGATCAGAAGATGCAGACACAACTGCAAGCAAACTCAACCACCATATATTTGATGAAGGGGCCAAATATGTTCATTGGAACAAAGCCTCTTTATTAAGTGATGCTGGAAACACTGACTTTCCCCATGCTGAAGGCTAAAAGCAGGCCCATGCCTATCACCATGCACAAAGCTATGGTCAAAATGGATCAAATATTAAATGGATCAAGATTTAAGTATTAAAACAGAAACACTAAATCTTCTGAAGAAAAATGTTGGCAAAAATCTTAAAGACGGGTGTAGGTTGAAATTCCATGAACAAAAACCAAACTGCACGGGAAATACTTCAAAGAATCAACAACTGGGATCTCACCTTTTTGAAAAATTTCTGCGCTTCAAAGCAAAACTCTGACAAAATAAAAAGAAAACTCACAGACTGGGAAAAAGTTATAGTGAACTGTCCCTCCAACAAAGCCTTCTATCTAGAACATATAAAGAACTTTTAAAAAATCAGACCCCCCAAATTCAAAGACCCAATCTAAAAATGGGCATCTGACATGAATATACATTTCTTAAAGAAAGCAAGTAAATATGTGAAAAAATGTTCAACTTCAATGGTCATTCTAGAAAAGCAAATTAAAACAACACCGAGATTCCATCTCACCCCAGAAAGAATGGCTAACATCAAGAAGTCAGCTAATAACAAATGCTGGAGGAGCTTTGGAGAAAAAGAAACCCTGCTGCACTGTTGGTGCGAGTGTAAACTGATACAACCACTGTAGAAATCAATGTGGAGATTCCTTCAAAAGCTAGGATTAGAGATCCCATTCAAGCCAACTATTTTCCTCCTGGGTATTTTTTCTGGAAGAACTGAAAACATCATGCCACAGAGATATATATGCACTCATGTTTATAGCAGCATAATTTGTCATAGCTAAATCCTGGAAACAACTCAGATGTCCACCAACTAAAAATGTATGGAGAAGATGTGGTATTTTTACATAATGGAGTATTATTCAGCTATAAAACAGGATAAATTTGAGTCTTTTGTCGATAAATGGATGCAACTAGAGAGCATACCCTTAAGTAAAATAAATTACACCTACATGTACAAACATCATATTGTCTCCTTAGTGTGAGAACCTCAAAGAGGAAAATGTAATCTGAGGGATACAATAGATACTGGGAAAAGATAGTGAATATATTCAAAAGGAACGAGTTACTGAGTTGAAGACAGGAGAGAGAGTGGGTGAAAGAAATTTACCTATGTATGTAAGCAGGATGTTTTAGTACCAAATTTTTGAACAACAATAAATATCAGTTTTTCTCAAACTAATATGCAGAACTGAAAGGAGGGAAACTTTCCAAACTTGTTTTATCATGGCTGTATCAACCTGTTATCAAAGGTAGATAAAGACACAACAAGAACAAACTGTACACTGATATTCTTATTGAACATAGATACAAAATATATCAGCAAAATACTAATAAGTGGAATTCAACAGAAAACTGTAGAGATCACTCACCATGCTCAATCTGGGATAGTTCAACATACACAAGTCAATAGATGTAATGTATCACATCAATAAAATAGGGGTAATCATCCTATTATGATCATCTTAATAGATACAGAAAAATCATCTGATAAAATGCAACATCTCATGATAAAAACATCCAAACAAATTAGGTATTAAAGGACCATACCTCAACTTAATAAATGATACTTATGATAAACCCATAGCCTTATGGGACTGAATGAGAAAATGCTGAAAACATTTCTTCTAAGATCAAGAATGAAACAAGGTATGTCCACTCTTATTGTTTTTTTTTTTTCAATATAGTACTAGTAGAGAATGATCAGGTGACAGAAAGAAATCAAAATGATACAAATAGTAAGGTAGGAAGTAAAATTATTCCTGTTAGTAGATAATATATTTGTATATGTAGGAAAACCAAGAGTCCATCAAAATACTATTAGAGCTGACAACAAATTCAGTAAAGTAGCAGCATATAAAATCAATATATAAAAGTCAGTGAGTTCTCTATACGCCAATAGCAAACTGAGAAAGCAATCCCATTCATAATAGCCACAAAATATCTAGAAATAATAGATATTTTTACCAAGAAAGTAAAAGGCCAGTACATTAAAAATTACAGAATATCGATGAAAGAAACTGAATGAGAAACAAAGATTTCCCATACTAAAGGATTGAAAGAATTGATGCATTAAAATGTTCATACTACCCAAAGTAATCTATAGATACAGTAGTCACCATCAAGATACTAATAACATTCACAGAACTAGAAAGAAACAATACAAAAATTTATATGGAAACACAAAGGACTGCTGAAGAACAAATGAAAAGCTCAGCAAGGTAAACAAAGCTCATCCTTCCATAAATATGGTAGGGATATTTGATATCCGCATGCAAACAATGATTTTTTACTTGAAACTTGACCCTGATTTTTTACACAATAGTCAGTTCCAAACAAATCAGATGCCCAAATGTAACATCTAAAATGCTGAAACTACTATAATAAAACATAAAACAGCTTGAGACCCTCAGATGAGTTATGTGCCACAGCTAAAGTCACGCAGGTAGTCAGTGACAACCTTGAATTCAAGGTAAGGCCCATCTCCCTACTCCAGGCAGTGATATTCTATGTGGGACATCTAATACATAAGGAAAAAAAGCACAGGAAACAACAGCAAAAATAGGGCAATAGGCTTGCATCAAATGCAAAAGCTTTGGCAAGGGAAAGGGGACAACACAGTGAAGAGACAACCTACAGAATGTGAGAAAGTATTTCCATCCTATGCATATGACAGAGGAATGATAGCCAGAACACACAAGAAACTTAACTGCAGAATAATAAAATTAGCAAGAGACAGAAAGACAACTACAGCACGTTGTGTTTTCTCTCCTATATGTAAATTTTTAAAGGTAGACCTGAAAGTAAATTAATTATTGCTAGAGATTAGGAAGCACACATGTGCCGGGTTGGAAGGACAGAGAATAAGCAGTTGGATTTGATCAGGGTTAATTCACGCAGATCTGAAAATATCACACTGGACCTTATTAATCAGATTATCACATGTTAATAAAAATACTGCTGAAGACATGCCATAGAATACTGCTAAGGAGTACCATAGGGAACAAGAGATTAATAAATGCAAAACCTGAATGAATCTCAAGAGAAATATACTGAGTGGAAGGAAAACAAAGTCAAAAGGTTGCTATGGTCTGATTCCACTGTGTGACATTCTTGAAATGATAAAGTTATAAAAAAAATAGAAATTGTCTGGAGATAAGGAAGTGATGGGAGAAATGTGCCTATAAACGGATAATGCACAGGGCTCTTGCTAACAATTGTGAACCGGTGATTACCTTGCTGCTGTACAGATGAGCGAACAGACTCAGATAAGTACCAGGCCTACACGCACCCAGGCAGCCAGGGACAGGCCTGGTAGTCGATTTCAGATCTACCTCCTTACTTCAAAGTTCATGCTCCCTCTTGATACCACAAACTGGCATCACTGAGCACGGGAATTGCGGCTAACCATTTCATCTTTTCCTTCTACTCAATTATCTATGAGATAGAGAAAGTACAGAAACATACAAACACATATTTCATGCAGACATTCACATGCGGAACTCGGGAGTAAGTGGGACATGCTGGGGGTCCTCTGCTTCTCTCCTGCCCAGTGGGTGTCAGAGCAGGGCTGGAAGCATCTGTACGGGGACCAGCCTGAGACCTTAGGCAGATGGTTGTTACAGGTCCACTTCAATAGGTTGATGGACCTGGGCCAAGTTCATTCAGGTACAGATGGTTAATTTGCAGATAACACAGAATCAATTAAAGATACATTTATAAAGTCCTCCATCACGATCTATGTGTCACCTTTAAGGCAAAGATACTTCAGTTTTATAGTTCACTTACACAGTATTGTATGAATCATTTATAATGGAGCAGTATAAAGGTAAATCTTTAATCTTTGTACAAGAAATTTTCCATTTCAGTCGCCAGAACAGATTATTCTGTTTATAGCTCCATCTTGGGCCCTACAAATGCATCAAAAGAAATAAATGCTCCCTGCACAGTAGGGACAAGCTGTTAGCTGCGGCTCAGGCGCAGGAGGCCACCTGTGTGGCACAGCATCAAGGAGCGCATAGTTACCAAGTGCTCGAAGATCACTACACGATGTGTGCAGTACTGAAAGAAGCGACCACGATCTCCTCCTTGTCCAACAGCCTCCCGATTCCACAGCACCCTTTCCTACTTCAGCTGTGTCTTTCATCTACAATACAGCTCCAGAGAAGCCCTATGTTTCAGGACTGGCTGATCCTCAGCCCCTCAGGGCTGCGCAGAGCCTTGGTCCAGCGCTGACTGGGCCAAAACAACCATCCTCAGCCACAGCATAGTCATGGTCTGTTTTGAATCTGCCGAGGCTCTTTACTCCTGTTATGCTTTATTTAACTCCCCCCCCCAACGTCTCATATTTTCAGAGGTAGGGGCTTTTGAAAGTGACTGTGTCAGGATGGTGCTGAACTCATCAGTGAACTTATCCCATGAGTAGTTCAAGGATGAATGTGTTGTCTGAAGGCAGGGCCTGATAGAAAGAGGTAGGCCGCTGGGAGAGAACCTGGAAGGAGGCCTCTCATCCTTGCCTCCTCTCCCTGCTGCCTGGTCACCACAGATTGAGCAGCTGTCCTCCATCACACTGTTCCTGCCTTGAAGCCCTCAAATGATGGACTGAAATTTGTAAAACCATAAACCAGCATGCACTTTTTCTCCTTTAAATTGTGGGTGTCAGATATTTTGTTCCTGCAACAGGAAAATGACTGCTATATTACCCATATTACCTATTCTGTAATCTCGGCCTCAACTCATCCTTGTATTCTTGAACCAGCCACGGCGATTCACACTCCTCTGGGGGTCATAAATGCTACCTCTGCTGCTGCTGCTGTTCCTTTGGTTTTGTTTGTTCAAACATTGAGCTTTCTACCTGAACAGCTCACTTCCAAATACCTCCAGATGGTCTACTCTCAGAGATCCAGGTAAGAACCGCATCCTGCAATCCAAGATTTTTATTTTCTTTTGGCGGAACCAGGGATTGAACTCAGGTCCTTGAGTTTGTTAGGCAAGTGCTTATTCTACTAAGCAAGATTTTTAAAAAAGGAGGCAGATGTAACTCAATGTGAAGGCCCTGGGTTCCTTTCCCAGGAGCCCACACACCCCCAAGCCAAGTCAGATGCCAAGTCTTCGCCTCGGTTTTACACCCGTCACCCAGGACATCTGCTCTGTTTCCATGGCGCATGCTCTCCAGAGGCCGCCCCACGCGCTACGCGCCTCCTGAGTAACTGCTGCCTGGGGACTTTCCTGCCTGCTCCGGAGGGCTGGTGCTCGATTCTCTCCAGGCCTTCAGTTTCTAGCAGAGAACCTGGCACAGATAACCGCAGAGCGAATGTTTAATGAATGAAGCAACGTGGAACTCAAGCTGGAGGCACGTGGCTGAGTTTTTCCAGCCCAGGACTGGTTTCCATGGTGCTGAACGTCCAAGTAGCATCACCACCGGTATTTCCAATATCCAAGGCAACAACAATGATCGGTGTTACTCTTCGTGCTCACTTCGGAGGGGACAGCAGGTGTACAAAGCCTCGATAAGCCGGCTGGGTCCTAGTGCCCTTCTGCCTCATCATCGCTTTGTGACGCGCAGAAGCCTCCCTGTGAACTCAGTACTCCAATATCTAAGGAGATCGAATCCCATCCTATACCTCCAGAACCCGCGTAGTTTTTTCCTTGGTTCAAACGTGGTGGCCCAGGCACCTAGAAGTCGCCCCCACCCCCCGGCCCAGAGCGCGTTCCCGCACCTGGCCACAGCTGCGAGGGTCCCAGGGTCCCCAGGGCCCCTGCTGCTAGCGGCCACGGGATGTGTCCACCGCCACCGGGAGAGCCCAAAGCCACAGCGATCGCCCCCGCTGGGCGCGGCCTCTAGAACTAACGCCAGCCCGGGCGCGCGCCCCGGCCCTCCGCGCGCCCCTGCACTTGCGCCCGCGCCCGCGATCCGAGCGCCTTCCCGGCGGCGCCCTCCGAGACGGCTGCGTCCCTCCCCGCCTCTTGGACTGGCTTGCGACAGACGTTTACGGCCCACACGTTGTGCTAGCCGCTGTGGTTGTTGAAACCAGCAAAGTTAGGGCACACGTATCAGGAATAGGCAGCGCGTCGCGATTTGGCTCTCTAAATCTCCTTCCGGCAGAGAGCCTGCTGGCTGCACCCCAAAAAGATAGATCAGTCTTTGCCTCAGCCATGGGGGAGAGGACGGAGTGACTTTAAAAAACAAATTCAAAAAAGACCTCATTACACACACACACACACACACACACACACACACACACACCCCACACAAGGAGGAAACGCAGAAGGGATACAGAAAGGGTCCTGTTGCCCCCAGACCTCGGTTCTCACGGTGGGAAAGTTACCTGGCTCAGGACCGGATGGGGCCCTCTCTGAAGACAGGGCTCCAGCAGCCCCCGCCC